ATATGTGCCTGTGTCTCTGTGAGTGTATGCCCTGTGTATGTGTATGTGTGTATATCTCAGAAGGCCAAAAGAGGGTGTTGAGTCCCCTGGAGCTGGAGTTACAGGCAATTGTGGTGTTGGGATCTGAACATGCTCTTAACCACTGAGTTATCTCTCTAGTCTCCAGTCCCAGGAACTATTTTATTTATTTATTTATTTATTTATTTATTTATTTATTTATTTATTTTTAATGAATGCTGTTTTGATTGTTTTTGTTTTTGAGACAGGGTCTCACTGTGTAGTTCTGACTGGCCTGAAACTCTGCCTCTGTTAAACCAGGCTGGCCTCGAACTCACAGAGATCAATATGCCTCTGCCTCCCAAGTACTGAGATTAAAGGCATGTACCATTACACCTGGCCCATGAATACCTATCTTAACAACAACAACAAGAAAATCAGAATCTTAAATCAACAACTCTTTATTTTCTCCTTATTTTATAGAATAAACTAGGAAAAGAATAAAATAAGCCCAAAGTTAAAAGAATGAAGGAAATAACACAGATCAAATGGGACTATAAGAAACAGAGATCATCTGTGAGTTCAAGACCAGCCTGGTCTACATAGTGAGTTCCAGGCCAGCTGAGGCTACAGGGAGGCCCTGTTTCAAAAAAAAAAACAAAAAACAAAAAACAACCAACCAACCAAACAAACAAACAAACAGAGAGAGACCCTCTCTCACTATGTACACCATTCCAGGCTAGCCTCTATCTTACAGCCATCCACCTATGTGTGCCTGCCTCCTAAGTACTGGAACTAAAGGCATGTGTCACCACACTTGGTGAATTGTTTTGAGAAGAACAAAATTGGCAAATCTTTAGCAGGATTGGGAAAAAAAGGAAAGACTTAAATAAAAACTGAGCTGAAAAGGGAAGCATTATGACTGACATTGTAGTGGTACAAAGACAGCAACAGACTGCTTTGAATAACTATGTATCAGCAAGGTGAAGGACCTAGAAGAAACAGGTCAATTCCTAGAAACACATGACACACTAAGACCAAATAATAGCATGTTGAAAGGATCACATAGCATAATCAAGCTGAGATTTGTCTCTGAGATGCAAGGAAGGTTCAATAACACAAATTAATAAATGCAAAATGTCACATTAACACCATGAAAAATAAAAACATACGATGCAAAAACAAATAGATGCAGAAAAAGCATTTGTCAAAGTGCAACATCCTTTAATGATGCTTATCAACAAGAATAAAAGGAATGCATCTCAACACAGAACACACATGAGAAGCTCACTGGCCCATATCATATACCATGTGAAGTGCTATGACGTTTCCTTCTAAGATCCAATTTAAAAGAATGGTGTTTACTCTGGCCACTGGAACGCTTAGCCAGAGAATTAGATAAGAAAGAAAAATAAAAAGCCCATTGGAAAAGGAGTAAAAGATGATCTATACATAGGAAATCACACGGATTACACTGCTAAAATTTATTTTAAAATATGTTGCCGGGTGTGGTTGCGCACGCCTTTAATCCCAGCACTTGGGAGGCAGAGGCAGGCAGATCTCTGTGAGTTCAAGGCCAGCCTGGTCTACATAGTGAGTTCCAGGACAGCTGGGGCTACAGGGAGACCCTATCTCAAAAAGACCCCAAAAAAAAATGTCAAATTCACAAAGAGAATTTCATAACATTTCAGGGTTACAAATCAATATAAAATTAAGTAGAAGTTGCCAATATAACAAAGAGCTCTCTGAAAAAGAAATGAGGAAAGTTCCATTTTCAGAATCACCAAAACATTAAATATACATTAGTCATCTTTTTGTTTTTATAACAAAACAAAAGAGATAACTTACTTTAGCTCAACAATTCAGTCGTGGTCAGTAGGTTCTGTCTTGAGCCTATAGTACCACAGAGACAGCGTGGTGGGGGGCACACGGTGGAGCCAGTTGCCAACCTTAAGGCATCAGGAAAGCAAATTTAAAGAGGAGACTAACATTAGTTAGTCCTGCCTGAAGGGGGGCCCCCAATGACCTAAAGCCTTCCAACTACCTTCCAACAGCACCAAGCTGAGGACCAAGTCTTCAGCAAAGGAGCCTTTGCGAAACATCCCAGGTCCAAACAGAAGCAAGGTAATTACTAATTTATCCAAAGAGGTAAAAGACTGATACCCCGAAACTGTAAGATGTTGACAAAATAAAGTGAAAGAGATGCCAAGAAATGAAAAGCAGCCATTGGTCCAATTGATATTGCTACAGTGCCCACACTATACAAAGCAATCTACATATCCATGTCCTCCCTTCTTCATAGAAATTGAAAAAAATCCACAAAATCAAAACACTAAGAGCATATTGATCTACAGAAAACTCCAAATAGTCTATACAATTTTAAGTATAAAAAATAAGTCACTGACTTCTGCCCCCCCCGACAACACACACATTTTAGCAATCTACATATCCATGTCCTCCCTTCTTCATAGAAATTGAAAAAAATCCACAAAATCAAAACACTAAGAGCATATTGATCTACAGAAAACTCCAGATAGTCTATACAATTTTAAGTATAAAAAATAAGTCACTGACTTCTGCCCCCCCGACACTACACACACATCTGCATATATATGTGGAGACACACAACCCAAGAAATTGACTAGTAAATTGATCCTAGTAATGTACAAAGAGATGACACGCTGTACACAAGTTGAATTTCTTCTTAACATGTAGAGTAGGGATAACATATCAGCGTCAATGCGATACACCTCTTTAACAGATGAGAGGAGGAAGTGAAACCATCTTCATGAATGCAGAGTGTATCTGGCTATGCTCAGTAACGGACCCAGTGAAACATGGCTTCCTAGTGGGGGCCCATGGCAGGAAACAGCAGAACGGTGCCTAGGCAAAATGTCTTTTGAGCTTTTTCTTTCTTTTTAAAACTATTATTAATATTGTGTGTATATGTGTGTGTATATGTGCACAATCGTGTGCATGTGTGCCCCACAGAGTACATGTGGAGGTCAGAGGACAACACTGTGGAATCAGTTCTCTCTTTTCACTTATATGGGTTTGGGGGGAAAATAAAAATATAAAAAGAATAAACGTCACACTACTTGACTTCAAAGTATACTGCAAAGCTATACTATCCAAAACTGCATGGTGCTGGCATATAGGTCAGTAGTTCTAAACACATTATATGTATGTATGAATACTAATAACCCATTTTTAGAATACCAGCTTCATTCACCAAGAGTGAACCAACAGAAATTAGGCAGGAAGGGAGGGCCAGAGGGCTTTGAAATTTCAGAATTTGTGCTCATATACTTGCTCCTTTTCTCAAATGCTCATAAGTAGGAAATAACTATATGTCTATAGCAAAGTTAGATAAAATCAAGCATGATGTGAGATTATACGACAAGGGATGCTCCATCCTCCTAGAGCCTGAGGAGGTGCAATGGCACATGTGTCAGAGCCTAGGAAGCAAACATCAAGTTGTCTCTCATCACATGCAGGGTGTTCTTGAGTCATGTTTTCATTTGTCTGTGCCTTTCTTATTTATTTGGCACCTTCACATTCCTTAATTTCAGTAGCAGACTAAAGGTCAAAGCTGTCTCTTAAATCATTATCACCTAGCTCATGATTTCAACTGGGAAAATGCTACACAACCCCAACCGAGAAACAGAGAGACACTCTTTAGTAACCACAGCTCCAGTCACTATGATCAACTGGTTTTAAAAATAAACTCTCTTGATCTTATGATCCCTGGTCAAGTGCTGCTGTGCCTTCTGGGACTGGAAGCACTTGTATGTGGTGATAAGCTAAGTACCTGTTAGGCAGAGACCTAACAGGACATTGTATGCAGAGTCTCTGTGATCCACGATGGCTGGGCCAGCAGAAGAACCTTAGAATTCATCAAAATAATGGTAAAACTGAATAGAGCTGGACAGGGCTGAGTTCTGTCACCAAAACCCTTCTCGTTACCGAGTTCCTATGTTGTCTGCCCTCTGCCATATTTCTAAGGCTTTCCTGTGTAACAGAAGCAGAGTGCTGGTTAGCTGAAATGGTCAAATATCTGTTATTATAAAAAGTCCTGAATTTTAACAAGAGGGAATCACAGCTACTTACTGCTTAGTTGCCAGAACAGAATTTCTTGAAGGTTCTAAAAATTTATCTATAACCGGCACAGGGATTGAAAGTGGATAGCTATCTCCATTGGGTCAGGGTGGTGTGAAGCTTTTGGGATGATCAAAATGTGCCCTACTGAACTGTGCCAAAGTTGTTGCTGCCTCTGGCTTCAATAAATCATATGCCAGATAATGCCTGTTCTTGGAAAACAATTCAAACCTGTCAGGGACAAAAAAGCTGGCATGTAGGTCAAGATTTCTAACTAAGCACTATGTTGTAGAATTAAGGTTAAGAACTTTCTAAAAGGGTCTCCCCTAAAATAAGACAAATACTTTCTCCAAAATAAGACACAAAGAACACTTACACAGTAATTTCAATATTGACCCAGTTTGCAGAAATGTCTATTTTCTGAATTTCCAAGGTATGGATCAGTATGTTTTAATACACTAAACAACTCATTAGCAAATGTCTAAAATTCACTGAGGAGCCCAAGATGACTGAATTCCTGAACCTCCTGCCTACACCTCCCAAGTGCCGGGGTTACGAGTTACATCACCATACCCAAGATTTTTTGTTGTGTTGTTTTTGTTTTGTTTCTTTAAGGTGAGGCAATAATTACTTTCACTTGGAAAACCTGGTGGTAGATAGGCAGTTATTAGGTTTCCCTGTGGGGGCCTGTGGGTGGGGGCGCCACGGTGAGAAGGGCATAGATTTGGTTCCGTCCAGTGCCCCACCCCAAGCCCCGCCCGGCCACTCTGTGCTGCCAGGAGGCCCCGCCTCAGTTCCAGGCAGTTGACAGGTGGCGCCTGCGCTCTGAGCCTAGTGGCTCTGGGCACAGGCGCCTCGCACGCTGGTTGGCCTTCGGGCCGTTGCCCTGACGACGCGTGCAGCTGTGGTTCCACATCTCCCAGGGAGTTTGGTGTGGCCCGGGCCGGTACAAACTTGAGCCGCAAACCCGAGACTGGCGAGCGGATAGGACACCTATTATTTTCCTGCTGTGTACCCTGCGTGCACCTGCCAGGTGCTGCTGGTCGCTGAGTGTGCGCCTGCTGTCTACTCTGCCGCACGTGTTGCGCTGTGTGGCCACGGGGACGCGGCGCCTCCGTGTACCCGCCCTGCTAGTACCAGCTCGGGCGTGAGGCGTCTGCAGGAGGTGAACTGGAGGCGGGCGGAGCTACAGGGCGCGGACTGCAGCTGCGGCTCCCAGCGGGCGGGTCAGCAGCGCCCAGCCAACCCTTTAAGCTAGGGCTCTGCGCAGCAGCTCCTCTCTCTTCCGAAGTTCTCCAAGTTCTCTGAGCGCGGAGCCATGAGGAACACCAGCAAGGAGGTGCAGGGCGCCTCTCACCGCTACGCTCCCTGCGGTGAGTGGGGATGGAGGAGGGCTGATAAAAGCTGAAACAATAGATGCCCCTGTTCTTGCTATTTTTGCCCCGTCAGTGCTGGGGGTTGAACCCAGGACCTTTTGCATGGTAGGCAAGAGACCTATCTACCCTTGAGCCCCATCTCCTTTTCAGTGGTGAGGGTTAGGAGCCCATTGAAATTTGTTTTGTAGTGTTAATCCTCAAAATTCCCCCTGAATGTTCTCGAGAAAGCTATTTTTCTGGCTCATCTATTTCATTGACTTCCTAGCTTTTGCCTCTAACTTAGGCCCCAGTCAAGATAAATGTTTCCTGTTTTCAATAGCTTGGTATAGGAAAGGAGAATCCATAGAGATTCGTGGGTTCTGCGTAGCAGGCTTTGAAGCTGAGGAGGGAAGGAAGACGTCCCCAAATGCTGTCCTCTGCTTTTCCTTTTTTTTCCCTCCACATCTCAGGAAGGGCTGATGACTGGCATGGGGCTGGGAGGGACCAGCTGGAGCCATCGCCTCTTCCTCAGGAGGAAACCAAGCGTCTCCCTTCCACTTCCCCTATAAGACCGCTGTTGATGACAACACCCCTTTACTGAGAGCTGGGGTGGGCGGTATACAGTTCAAGAGAGCTGGCCAGCTCTCATTCCATCCCAGGCTCTGTAAGCTTCCTGTGACTTCAAGCCTTGGGGAGTGGTCTCAAATCTGAGAATAGCACTGATAGACTCTGACAAGTGCCAGCCATAGTTTGAGCAGTTTTTGTACACCAACGTGTCTAACTCCGTAACAACCTTACCAGGAATCATTGTCCCATTTTACAGACCAGGAAAGTGAGGCATGCTGTGTTTGGAGTAAGCAGCCCAATATAACACACCTACCAAATGTTTTTTTTTTCTTCTGTACAGCCTAAAGACATCAGCCTGTGCTCCTGTGGACACGAGGGTGTATAAAACACTGTCTCTGGTTTAGAGGCCAGAAACGGGGCAGGGGGAGGGAGCACCCTTTAGCTTGGATCGATGTCTCTTACACCATTTCCTTATTTGGATAATGAGAAATTAAGGGCACTCATGACATCATATAGGACAGCTATGTAAAGAAAAGCAGCCAGGCAGCAGGTGAGCTGGTGTCACACAGGTACTAATGATGAAAGTGATGAAAGCTGAAAAGATGCCTGTGCATCCATCCCCTTAACCTCCTGTGTGTGTACTAGATGGTGATGGGTTGTTCCTCTGATGGGGCCCTTGCTCTCTGGCTGTTCCTGCTCACACATTTACAGGTGTATTAGTGTTCAGTGCCTGCCCAAAGCTTCCAGTAATGAGGAGACAGAAGAGGCACTGCTCTCTGTGGATTAATTAGCAATCAAAACAGAGAGAAAAAATAAAGCAAGAACAAATTACTTTCCTCGAAAAGAAACATCAATCGATGATCACAAAGGTGCTGCTGAACTCCCAGTGATTTTATGTGCAAGTCTTTAAACTTTTTCCCCATGGTTTTTCTTTCTTCTCAACCTACATCATGTTGGTTCGTTCAGCTAGTGCGTTTCAGACATTTTTAAAGTTTCCAGGTTAAATGCCATCCATTTTTAGGCAGTGAACCAGTTTAATTCTAAGTAGAAATTGGCAGTCTGAGCGTTTGGGTTTAGAGGACGGGCACTCCTGGTTTCTGCCCTTAAGTTGTTTATTCAATTCTATTTCCCCATGCCCTGACTCCTAGTCAGGGTTCTTCTGAGCAGCGTAACTAGCCAGCCATCTACCTACCTATAAAAGGAGAAAGGTTCATTTTGAGGAATTAGCTCATGCAATTGTGGGGCTGGTAAGAATAGAATCTGCACGACAGGCTGGAACCAGGGGAGGAGCAGGGTTGCAGTTCAAGCTCAAAGTGCATGTAGAGGCAGAATTCCCTCTTCCTCAGGGGATCCCATTCATTTTTCTTAAGACTTTTAATTGAGCTAAGGAAGTTCACCCTATCATTGGAGAATTGTCTGCTTTATTCAAAGTTGGCTAATTTAAGTGATAATTTTCCTTTAAAAGAGCACCTCAAAAGCATCCAGAATAATGTTTATCCAAAGTCTGGTTACTGTGGCTGAGCCAAATTGACACATAAAGTTTGCCATTAAATCTACCATGGAGAGCTAGGCTCTGTGTTTGACTCTGAATGCCAGGAGTCCCTGAGAGTGCATCTGGCAAGTGTTATTAAACATAGCCAACACCTGTGCCACATGAATTGAGTCTTTGGGGTATTTTCCCCTAAACTTTGTTTCCAAATCTTTCAGTTGATGTGATAGTTTTCTCCCTTATGTTTTGGCATCTGGTTAATTTTTGATACAGACTAACCTAAAGCACCTATGGCCCTTTGGCCCTTGACAGAAGGTCACACTCTGGGAGTCTCAGGGATGGTCCCAAGCCGGACTACAGACCCTCTCCTCGATGCCCTCAGCTCAAAGCCTAGCGAGCCTTGTCACCTTGTCACCTTGTCAGGCCATGCCCAGCTCCTCTCCCTTTCTGCTTAGGACTTGTGTCACCTTGGGAAGGGAAGACAGGACAAGCTCTCAGTGTTTCTCTTCTGACGTCCTGTGAGCTACTACCTCCAGTTCCCTCCTCAGAACAGAAATCACCCAGCCTGCATTCACCATGCTTCACCTCCATCTTTCTTAAAGTCTTTGAATCTTAAGTTCGAGGAGGTTTTCTATCATGGGTGGTTGCTCTGGCCCAGTGAGTCTCCCTTCTAACACCCATCCAGGCCTCTGTCACTTCCAATTGCTCACTGTGGCCTCCAGCATAGTACTTGTGTGTGCAGCTGGCCTGCCACTGGGACACAGGGTCTTCTGTCTGCTGGTGGGTGTGGGAGGCAGGTGGTGACTTCCAACACAGCTGTTAACTAGGTGAGGCTTCTTGGACCACACCCTGGCCGCCTTCCTTCTGCTCTTGTAAAAGTGGCAAACAGGTTTGATCAGATTGTTGTGTCTGTGACAGAACTGACATATCAGTATTTTAATACATGTAGCTTGTCAAATCCTGACCATCACCTAGCCAGATGTTCTACATATCCACAGTGGTTTAAATGATTTGGGAGTTTTCAAGTCAGCATGTTTCCCAACATAACAGGAAACACAGCTAAGAATTTTATGGGAGAAGGAGGAAAAGAGAGGGAAGAAGATAGGGAATGGGGCAGGCACTGTGAATTTGTATAGTCCTGGACCTAGTACACCAGTGGAAGGTGTGAACACTCAGCTTTGAGGAGGAGGTGCTGTCCCTTCCATTTAGCATCAGTGGCTGGCATACCTGGGGGTCCTGGAAATGTAACTGTGGCCTGTGCTTTTCTAAGTTGTCACACATGTTTAGAGTTGGCAGCTCCTTTCTTGCTCATGTGCTCTGTGGCATGTGCTGCCCTGCCAGTGTTGTGCACAGAGCAGGGAATAGAGGGCCTCCTGATCACGTGTCCTCCTCCACCAGCTAATACTGTGCCTGCCTCCCTCCTGTCTAGATTGGTATTACCATGTACCTGTCAAGTGCTCTGAGAAGGCTGTGGGTGCCCCACCAGCATCCCAGATCCCAGGGCTCAGTGATTTGGGAGACTCCCCAAATGGGAACATGCCTCGTGCTCGGAGGTACTGGATAAAGGAAACAGACTCAGAGTATGTGAAGCTGGCTAAGCAAGGTGGCAGACCCGGTAAGCCCGCGGTGCACTGGGTGGCTTGTGAGCAGGAAAAGGGGGTATTGTTTCTAAACTCATCTGCATACCAGCATTACTACGAAATCTATGTGCTTTGTCCAAACCTTTGGAAACTTAGGCTCATTGAGGAGATTGGGATGTGTACAATCTTTGATGAGAATTAACTTTTGTACAAGTAGACATGGAAGGCATATAGACTTCAATCACTGGTCAGAGGATTAAGGGACCACATCCCAGAAGTCTCTGCTAGGCTTTGGAACATGTGACTTTGAGAGATACTAAACTTTTCTCCCCTCTGGCTGTCATTGTCCCTACATCGAATGTCATAGGAGGATTAGAAGACAGGTGATCAAGTCTGCACATGACCATTCCAAACTCACACCACACCATTTGGCTGACAAGGCAAAGTAGCGGGTGGGGCAGGACCAAGACAGCCCCTGCCTTTGTTGGTAAAGAAACTGGCAAATCTGACCAAGGCCTGAAATTCAATGAAAGCATTGCCAATGCCCTCGTGGCACTGGGATTATGTAAGGACCATTTTTTGTTGGTAGCTGCTGAGGTGCAGAGGATGAAGGGACAGCCTGACATGCCACTCAACAGTGCTGAGTAGACAGCAGTATTAACAAGGGGAGATGGGAGGGAAAAGAAACAGAGTTCCACACAGGTGGGACAATGCAGGGGTTCGGAATCTGGGTGAAGGGGTGAGGGGAATTTATACCATTCCTCCAGCTTTTCTCTAAGTCACAACAGAAGGATTTTAAAGTTTAAAAACTTTAGAAAGAATTTTCTGAGTAAACTTTTCATGTTGCTGCCATGGCCTTGGCTATTGTTAACTGTTTAGCTGTTGGTATCATCTGACAAGACCAGTTCTGCCCACTCACTGCTCTTGGACACTAATGAACAGGAGGGACAGAAGGGGGAGGAGCCTGTGCTCAGTACCTCTTAGCAGAGTTCCAGAATGACAGGCACATCCTCTTGGTGATTTCCCATCTGGGAATCTGGAGGGAGCAAGCTCTCTAGGAAAGAGCTATGGGGTGGGGACAGGTCCACAACTGTGGCATAGAAGAGTCAGATGGCTGTAGGGTTGGAGCCAGCCTGGAGCTGGCTGAAGGTTAGGGGGCCCTGGAGAAGAGGAGGGCTGAACCCTTGAGGGAGTGAGTGGTGGTGGTGACTGACATAGACGTAGCTCAGGACCCGGAGCTCTGTCCACACTCATGAGGAGGAAGCGTGGGAGGAGGTGAAGGTGTGTGAGGGATGTTTCTGCTTGAGCACCAAACAGGACACTCAGTTGTCAGCCCATGCAAAGGCCACCAAGGGAAATTCACACAGCTTCCCCTTTTGGGTGCTAGGAATGCTCTGTACAACACAAAACTATGTCCTATGTCCCTTTCTCTTTGAGATTTACTGAAGCACTTTGCAGCCGGGTCCAAGAAAGGCTCCCCAGTGGCCTATTCCCTGCCAGACTGGTATATCCACCACAGCAAGCCTCTGACGGTCCATCAACGAGAGTGAGTATCTTAATGGGTCCAGGAAAGGCTCCCCGGTGGCCTATTCCCTGCCAGACTGGTAACGGTGCTTGCTGCCAAGCCTGACAGAATGAGTTCAATCCCTGGGACCCAAATGGTGAAAGGAGATGACTGACTCCTGCAAGTTGTCCTCTGACCTCCACATGATTGCTATGACGTGTATGGCCACACACGCACACACACACAAACAAATATAATAAAATAATTTTTTTAAATCTCAATTTGAGTTGGAAAATTACAAATATCTAATACTGACAGGACCATGTGCTATTACAGCCCCCCAGCACTACTGTGTACAGCTTTGAAGAACATAGCATAAATTGTCAGGAAACGAGAGTTAAGGAAACAAAGAGCACCCTGTGCCCTACAAGATGTGGGTCTTTTGGCCACTTATTAACAAGTACCCTTAGGTTTTTATTCTCTGTCCCATGGAACCTGATTACATCTGCCTGCCACAGAGCAGCAGCCTGGGCCAAGGATTTCTTCTCAATACAGATGACAGATCACTAGAAATGTACACAGAACTCAGCTTCTAGGGTGGTGGGGGGGCTGTCACCCCACAATGTTACACCACCTAAGAATTTGTACTTGTGACCGTGCAAACTTGACCTTCCACACACCTCTCTTGTCTGAGAGGAAACACAAAGGAATAATTTTAGGATTTATTTTTACTGTATGAGTATGTGTGTAATGCCTGCATGTAGGTAGGTACACCTGTGTGGTGCATTGCCCTCAGAGATCAGAAGAGGGCATTGGATCCCCTGGAACTGGAGTTAAGGATGGTTGTTAGCCACTATGTGGGTGCTGGGAATCGAACCCGGGTCCTCTGCAAAAGCAGCCCGTGCTCTTAACTCTGAGCCATCTCTCCAGCCCATTTTTTCTTTTTAGAAGTGTTCTTTGTTTTGTGTTTTTCTTTACCAGGCTTGACCAGCACAGATGAGTAGGCACCACTTTTCTAGCTTTATTTTGTTTTTCTTTTTTAATTAATTAGCATTTAATTTTTTGTGTATGTATGGAATGTTTTGCTTGCCTGTATGACATTCGATGCCTGTGGAGGCCCAAAGAAGTAGGGGAGTCAGATCCCCCGGAACTGGAGTTAGACGGTTGTTAGCAGCCATGTGGGCATTGGGAACTGAACCCAGGTCCTCTTGAAGAACAGTCAGTGCTCTAACCACTGGACAACCTCTCCAGCCTCTGCTTTAATTTTTAGCAGGAACAAAGAACACATAAAAGTTTTACATGCCTATGGCAAGTGAATATTTAACTTCCACCGAGTTTTTAGATAGAGTCTGAGTAGTCCAACAATGGCTACACCACACTGGAGAGGCTGAGATTCCAGTAGCTGCTCAGTCCCTGAGGCTGGATGTCTCAGTCATCCCAATCTGGTGCCGAAGGTCTGACAAATCAAGTGGCAAAAAGCAAGAGCTCACTTCTGCCATGGCTTTTATATGGTGCCATCAGAGGGTAACACCCACATTTAGGGTGTGTCTTCCAGCTTCAGATGATCCAGTCAAGAAGGTCTCTCTCATTTCAGTTAATCCCAGATCCAGTCACGTTGACAGCCAGGAATAGCCATCACACATGTTATTTTTTAAACATCTCAGGCTGTTTGAAGTGATTTGAGGCCCAGGTTGTCTTCAAACTCATGATCCCCCTGCCTTTGTCTCTTAAGTGCTGGGATGACAGGTAGGCACCACTTTTCTAGCTTTATTTTGTTTTTCTTTTTTAATTAATTAGCATTTAATTTTTTGTGTATGTATGGAATGTTTTGCTTGCCTGTATGACATTCGATGCCTGTGGAGGCCCAAAGAAGTAGGGGAGTCAGATCCCCCGGAACTGGAGTTAGACGGTTGTTAGCAGCCATGTGGGAGTTGGGAACTGAACCCAGGTCCTCTAGAAGAACAGTCAGTGCTCTAACCACTGGACAACCTCTCCAGCCTCTGCTTTAATTTTTAGCAGGAACAAAGAACACATAAAAGTTTTACATGCCTATGGCAAGTGAATATTTAACTTCCACCGAGTTTTTAAATGAATAATTTGTGCTAAGTTCAGAAAAGAGAGGGAATGAGACAGGATGAACAAAAGCAGGCAAGAAAGGAGGACAGGAGACCCTGGAGCTGATACTTCCCTATGCATTAAACACTCATATTAAAATTGACCATCTAACAGAGCAGAAGAAAGTGATTATTAGTTTAGATGATGTTCAATGGTCAGTGTTTGGGGTATTTAGCTCAGTAGGAGATTGAAAGGGTTTACCTGTGTCTTCAAGGATCATAGAGAGAAGAGAGAGATGAGGGAGAAAGAAAAGAGAGGGGGGTGACAGCCAGGAATAGCCATCACACATGTTATTTTTTAAACATCTCAGGCTGTTTGAAGTGATTTGAGGCCCAGGTTGTCTTCAAACTCATGATCCCCCTGCCTTTGTCTCTTAAGTGCTGGGATGACAGGTAGGCACCACTTTTCTAGCTTTATTTTGTTTTTCTTTTTTAATTAATTAGCGTTTAATATTTTTGTGTATGTATGGAATGTTTTGCTTGCCTGTATGTAGGTGTACCCATGACATTCGATGCCTGTGGAGGCCCAAAGAAGTGGGGGAGTCAGATCCCCCGGAACTGGAGTTAGACGGTTGTTAGCAGCCATGTGGGAGTTGGGAACTGAACCCAGGTCCTCTAGAAGAACAGTCAGTGCTCTAACCACTGGACAACTTCTCCAGCCTCTGCTTTAATTTTTAGCAGGAACAAAGAATGCATAAAAGTTTTACATGCCAATGGCAAGTGAATATTTAACTCCCACCGAGTTTTTAAATGAATAATTTGTGCTAAGTTCAGAAAAGAGAGGGAATGAGACAGGATGAACAAAATCAGGCAGGAAAGGAAGACAGGAGACCCTGGAGCCGATACTTCCCTATGCGTTGTGTGGGAAGGCCAGTTGGATACTAAACACTCATATTAAAATTGACCATCTAACAGAGCAGAAGAAGGTGATTATTAGTTTAGATGATGTTAAATGGTCAGTGTTTGAAGTTCAGAAAAGAGAGGGAATGAGACAGGATGAACAAAATCAGGCAGGAAAGGAAGACAGGAGACCCTGGAGCCGATACTTCCCTATGCGTTGTGTGGGAAGGCCAGTTGGATACTAAACACTCATATTAAAATTGACCATCTAACAGAGCAGAAGAAGGTGATTATTAGTTTAGATGATGTTAAATGGTCAGTGTTTGGGGGTATTTAGGTCTTTGATGGGAACAAAGTAGTAAATGCTATTCTAAAAGAAATAATTCTAAGTCATCTGTTTTATTAGTTCATACTTTAGCATGCCCCTTTTCGCTCATATATCACCCTGAAATTTCTGAGTTGTCCCAGGGATCCTTGGGGCTGACCGTAGAGAAAGGCCGGTATGTTTGCTCAGTAGGAGATGGAAAGGGTTTACCTGTGTCTTCAAGGACCATAGAGAGAAGAGAGAGATGAGGGAGAAAGAAAAGAGAGAGGGAAGGAGAGAGAGAGGAAGAAAGGAGGGAGGGAGAGAGAGAGGAAGGAGAAAGAGAGGACAGAGGGAGAGGGGAGGAAAGAATGGAGAGAAAGGAGAGAGCCAGGGACTGGCTATAACTGGTCATCTGCCCTTACAGAGTCCCTGTGGTCTCCATGCCAGATTACATGGTTTACAAAGAATTCAGCCCTGAGCAGGCCAATGGTAGCTACGAGTCCAGAAGAGGCCCCTTCGACTTTGACATGAAGACGGTTTGGCAAAGAGAGCCTGAGGAACTTGAAAACGAAAAAAGAAAGGTAACAGGAGCTCCGAGGGTGTCACCTGCAGCTGCTTTGCTTCTCCGACTCCCTGCATAACTAAGGGCAATGCTGTTGCAGGGCTGTCTTTTTCTTTCTGTGTATGTTGACACAGATAAGATTATTTATGCTGAGTGGTGCTTAACAGGTTAACAGTTATCTTGGGGAAAGCTGCATGGTACTTCAAGTCTGGCTTATAGAAAGGAAGCTCAATACGTGCTCACTCACTACCCTACTTCTGGATTTTTCCATTTTTATTAAGTTAAAACTTCCCTGGAATGCTGCTTGCTCATGATAAAGGAAGGGAGGAGGAGCCAGGGGGCACCATACATTGGAGATACGACCACGCTGTCAGTGTCTGAACCCAGTTCCTTTGTATGGCGGAGCAATGCTCTGTTGTGGATCAGGTGCTGACTGGTTATTCATAAACTTGGTGGTGGTTATTACAAAGCCCCTGTGAACCTCACCATACAGGCACTTTCATTTCATGTGGGCCTGGGGACCCCTCCCCTCCAGCAAGCCCCTTCAGGACAGGCCTCTGGTATCTCTGTTATTCGCTGGTCTTTCTCCTCCTGAGCAGACTGCCTCTTTACTTAAATATGGCAACTGGTTTTGAACCACACTTTGCCGCTTTTACAAGCCGCCCTGTTAAGTGGGATGGCTATTGGATTTTATTCTATTGTGACAGCCCGTTACCACACTAACAGTCAGTGCTGCGGGTTTTGTGTCTCTACCACTCCTGGTGAGTTTTCTTCTACCTTAACTCACAGATTTGTTTCTTTTCACACAGGTGAAACTGCCAGCTATTAACTCCAAGAATCCCAGCAAAGTGGGGACCCCGGTTGGTCCCAAAGATCCTGCAGGCAGCAGACTGTCGTTGCCTCCAATGTAAGTGCCTGACCTCTGACAGGTGAGGTTGGGTTTCACCCAACTGAGGATTGTGCCAGTGGTGGCACTGGCAGGCCTTCCGAGCCCCGCCCACAGAGCCCCGCCCAGCCTGGCCTGCTCATCTAGTTGCACTTTTGTTCCCTTCTGACACCCAGTTTGCGCCTTTGAGCACATGCTTGCCCTTCTGCATTCATTAGTAGGTTGGAGCCACTTGTCCCTGCTCCTGATGCTTGGTCCTGGTGCTCACTGTCGCCAAGGCCTGAGCATGGGGCTCTGCACCTTGTGAGCAAGCACTCTGGCTCTGCATTCAGCGGGGATTCACTAGGTGTGTGGATGCCTGTCGGTCTCCCAGCTGGAGAAGGCAATCCCCAGTGTCTCCTTACCCAGAATTCTGGTTTAGGAGAGAACAAATGTCATTCATGGCTGACTGGTTCTACACATAGCTTCTCACCCAGGGGAAACAGTCACATTTAATGACATTGTGATAGAAGAGGGGCCCATTGAGAAAGCACTTAATAAAGTGATTCATAATTCTGAAGCCTGTGGCTCCGGAGAGGACAGGAGTGCTCCATACCTGCTGGACCTGAAGGCTGATTCTGCTCTGCCACTCTTCAGGGTTATGATAAGATCTGTGGGCTGAGCAGGTATGAAAACCAGGCAGACAGAGTGCTGCTGGAGCAAATACCAAGGAAGAAATGGGACAGGGATGGTGGCTCCCAGCAGTCCCCTTGGAGTATGGGGGAGGGGGAGTATTGCTGAGGTCTTCCCTGGGGAATACCAGAATGATTACTAAGTTTTAATTGATCAATATGAAAAAAGGTTTGGGAAAGTAGATTAAATATAGTCTCATTTATGCTTGAGAGATGCTCTGAGTTCAGTTTTATATTTAAAATACAGAAAAAGACTGACTGACAGATGAGATATACACACAAAAAACAGTGGGGAAGGAGGGGGAGAGAGAAAAGGGGGCAGAGCTAAGCACCAGGCTCCCTCATGTGTTAAGTCACTAATGCATCTAACTTCTTATCAGTATGTTCCCTAAATGCTGCATTCAGTTTTCTTTTTGAGACAGGGTCTCCCTATGGCCCCAGCTGGCCTGGAACTCACTATGTAGACCAGGCTGGCCTGGAACTCGCTATGTAGACCAGACTGGCCTCTATCTCACAGAGATCTAACCTGTCTCTGCCTCCCAAGTGCTGGGATTAAAGGCACCACACTGGCCCCTGGTTTTTTTCTTAAATTAATCTTTGTACTTAAGTTTAACATTTGCTTTTCTCTTTTTGAGGCCTGGTCAAAAAACCAGTTCACCAACAAACTTTTCAAAACTTATCAGCAATGGCTACAAGGATGAGTGGTTACAGCAGCAGAGAGCAGATTCTGACAAGAGAACTCCAAAGACATCCAAGACATCCATGTCCTCTCAGTCCACACCAGACTCTGAAGGTCCCCAGGACACAGACATGCCCCAAGATCCAGAGGCTCCTGAAGACGCTGAGAAAACGCCAGGTGAGGGATGCTGGGAACCCTGTGTGTCCTGGCCTCAGGGGATTCAATTTTGTTGTCCATGGTGACTTTCTCATGATGTGTCTCCTAATGAGATAACGCGTAACACAGAAGTCATGCTGAAACCCCAGAGAGCTGTTAAGGTACAGGGATAGGCATGCAAGTGAGGTGTGCTTGGGCTTTTCCTTTTCATTCAGATGAATGAGCAAAAACCATGACTTCTGAGCGATCACAATTTTATTTATCATAAACATTGCTACTCATGGTGCTGAAAAGATGGCTCAGTGGTTTAGAGCACTGGCTGCTCTTGCAGGGACCTGGTTAGAGTCCCAACACCCACATAGCTGCTCGCCATCCATAACTCCAGTTCCAGGGGATTTGATGCCCTCATCTGGCCTCTGCAGGCATTGCATGCATTGGTACACTTAGATACATACAGGCAAAGCCCTCATACACATAAAATAACAAATAAGTAAAAATTTTAAAAATGAAGGTCGGGTGTGGTGGCACATACCTTTAATCCTAGCACTTGCACTCGGGAGGCAGAGGCAGGCAGATTTCTGTGAGTTCAAGTCAAGCCTGGTCTACATAGCACGTTCCAAGACAGCTGGGGCTATAGGGAGACCCTGTCTCAAAAATAAATAAATAAATAAATAAATAAATAAATAAATAAATAAATAA